AAGAAATACCTGTAATGGAACACCTTGGTGAAAAGGGCATGGAGAGAGATTTGGTTCTAACAAGCATGAGTGAGCTCACGAGATGAGAGCATTGGTGAACTGGCAGTCTCTACACCTGTGGTGTTGAGAAGCACGCGCTCAGCCTTATATTAGGCTGGAGGAGAAGGCAGTCAAGAGGCGTGCGCATTCTATCAGGGATCCACTTACTCTGACTCTGTCTCTTCTCCTGCCTGCAGAATGCCAGCACAGCGTCTCTGCTGAAGATTACCAAGCTCTGCTAAAGACTAAGAGCTATCTGTTCTAAGAAGACCTTTACTCGCTCTAAGATACTCTTTCTCTCTCTCTCTCCAGCTAAAGCAGATAGCCCTCAAGCACCTACAAGAAACTGTTCCTGAACAAGGTAGCTTAGTGGTCCGCGTCCAGAACCTACCTAAGCTGGGCCCGAGAACTGGCCAGTCCTGGGCCTGACAAGTGGTGTCAGAAGCAGGATAGTGAACTCCACTGACACCCTGGGTAGAGTGCCATGGCATCACAGTTCACAGCAACCTCCAACTCCTGGGCTCATACAAGTCTCCTGCCTCAGTCTCCCAAATAGCTGGGACCACAGGCGCCCGCCACAACGTCTGAATATTTTTTTGGTTGCAGTCACCATTGTTGTTTGGCGGCCCGGGCTGGATTCGAACCCGCCACCTTAGGTGTATGTGGCTGGCGCCTTAGCCACTTGAGCCACAGGGGCCAAGTCGCAACCTCAAACTCTTAGGCTTAAGTGATTCTCTTGCCTCAGCCTCCCAAGTAGCTGGGACTACAGGTGCCCGCCACAATGCACAGCTGTTTTTTGTTGCAGTTGTCGTTGTTGTTTAGTTGGCCCAGGCCATGTTCAAACCTGTCACCCTTGGTGTATGTAGCTGGCACTGTAACCACTGTACTACAGGTACCAAGACATCAGTTGGAACTTCTTTGTTTGTTTTTTCTCTTTTTACTGAAGTGCAAGTAAGAGTTCCTATTCAATTTCTCAAAACTAAAAGTGTAAAGAACTTTAAAGCTTCCTCTATAATTTCAAACTTTAGTCCTTCAGAAAATAAACTAGTTACGGCTGCTGTTCTAGCTCTAGTCTCTGCCATAATGAAATAATTATCCTTTTGAACTTTCAACCCTGTCTAAACTATCTACGCACTACTCTTCTTTTTAAGTTCTCTTTCCCTTTTCTCTGATTACTCATTCAGAGTTTTTGGTAATTTTCACTTAACTCTGAGGTCCTTGGGAATAACAGTATGAACAATAAAAATATTATCATCAAAAACCATATATAACTTTTAATATGTGAATGCATTTAACTATTTAGCACAGTCAGGCACTACTATAATCACTTTATAGGCATTAATCACTTAATTCTCACAACCACCTTATAAAGTAGACATTATCATTTTAGAGACAAGATTCAAATTCAGGCTATTTAACCTAAAGAAAATTACACGGCCATTTTCCTGAATACAAATATCTAGTTTTCCATTGAATTTGGATGGCTGAAAGTAAGATTTATATCACAAATACTTTTGAAGTAACATTTGTCACTATTTGAAACAGTTAAAATATCTGTTGATAAGTTGGGTGGACTGAAACTATGAAGCTTTTAGAAAGTAACTGGCAGTAGGCAGCAGAGATGATTTACAATGTTTTATTCAGTTCCGTCTTAGAATCAGTCCTTCCACTTGGTGGCAAAGATCTAATTAAAACAAGAGAAATTGTGTGCAGGTGATAAGGAAGACATTTTCTGACATAAAGAGGACAGGAATGAAGGAACTAGCTTAAGAAAATATGAAACTTGGGGCGGTCCCTGTGGCTCAAAGGAGTAGGGGGCCGGCCCCATATGTCAGAGGTGGTGGGTTCCAACCCAGCCCCAGCCAAAAACTGCAAAAAAAAAAAAAAAAACAGAAAATATGAAACTTGGTGGCGCCCGTAGCTCAGTGGGTAGAGTGCCGGCCACATACACTGAGGCTGGTGGGTTCATACCTGGCCCAGGCCAGCTAAAACAACATGACAGTCTTGGTGCCTATAGCTCAGTGGCTAGGGCACCGGCCACATATACCAAGGCTGGTGGGTTCAAACCTGGCCTGGCCCTGCCAAACAACAATGAGAACTATAAAAAAAAAATAGCTGGGCACTGTGGTGGTTGCCTATAGTCGTGGCTACTTGGGAAGCTGAGGCAAAAAAAAAACACTTAAGCCCAAGAGTTAGAGGTTGTTGTGAGCTGTGATGCCACAGCACTCTACCAAGGCTGACATAGTGAGACTCTGTCTTTAAAAAAAAAAAAAAAGTAAATAAAAGAATAAACAAACAACAATGACAACTGCAACAATAAAACAAAAAACAGCTGGGTGTTGTGGCGGGCACCTGTAGTCCCAGCTACTTGGGAGGCTAAGGCAAGAAATTGCTTAAGCCCAGGAGTTGGCAGTTGCTGTGAGCTATGACACCATGGCACTCTACTGAGGGTGACATAGTGAGACTCTGTCTCAAAAAAAAAGAAAAAGCAAAAAAAAAAGGAAATACGAAACTTTAGGCCAGGCGAAGTGGCTCACACCTATAATCCTTACATTCTGGGAGGCTGAGAGGGGTGGATACAGGAGGACAAGTGCTGGACATCAGGAGCTTAAATCTAGCTGGAGCAAGAGCAAGACCCTGTCTCTAAAAACTAGCTGAGCATTGCGGTAGGTGCCTGTAGTCCCAGCAACTCTGGAGGCTGAGACAAGAGGATCATTGAGACTAGGGGTTGGAGGTTGCTATCAGCTATGATGTTATGGCACACTACCAACGGCAAGATAGTGGGACTCTGCCTCAAAAAAAAAAAAAAAAAAAAAAGAAAACATGAAACTCTGACAACCATAGGATATTCATTCCCATCTCTCTCCTGCCCAGATGTTATATGGCAGGTAAAGGTATTTAGATACTGAAAGTTCTTTTGTGAGTTGAAGAGAGAGAACATCAGAAGTACATGGTGCTTCTTTTACTCCAGATAGATATTATGTAGAAACTAAATGCTCAATAGCTGTGGACAATAGTGAAAATAAAGATGATAAGTGAGCACTGCTCTTGAAAGCAGTAAAGAAAAACTGGTATCCATAAAACCTACTTTGAGACAGCACTGATGACTTCTTTTTTTTTTTTT